CACCCACAAGCCTACCCCCTGCCTGCAGTCCTGCCTCCGGAGGGTTTAGATTTCCCCAGTCAGCATAAGAAATGGAAATACATTTTCCCGTGCAATTTGCCTCACGACTTTGCTTATTGCAATAATTCTCCAGGTATCGACACCAATTCATGGGCTGCAGAGCCAGACAGGGAGCCCTTTTAAAACGCAGGTTCCTGGGCACCACTGCAACCCCATGGAATCATCCTATGGATGTTGGGCTCTGCCCCCGGTGATCCAGATGTGCCATGAATTTGAGGATCATTCGCCCCCACAGGGCTCTTAGCAGGACTGCATGCTTACATGCAGCATCCGGGCTTAACCAGCTCATGCCTGAGAGGACTGAGTCACGATCCTGGCACTGATGTTTTCTTTAATGCTGGGCGAGTGGAATGTGCTCTCCTGTGCACATGGATGGCTCTTCTGCCCACGCTGATAAAAGCAAACATTTCTTTTTAGGGTAACAAAGCTGAAATGTTTGATCCACTTGTAACCCAGCAGCTCCCATGACAGAGCGTGAATTTAGCTTCCTGCCGAGCTTTACTTGTGAGTTTCAAATCTGTGGCTGTTGGGCCCCTCAGTCTTCTGTCCCTGGCTTTTAGGGGTACGGAGGGCAAGAAACTTCCCGCTCACTTCCCATCTTTTGTGCAAAAGGAAGAGACCCAAGCACACCCACATCCGTCCTCTTTATGAGTCCCTCCCGAATTCCCGGATCCCAGGAGCCTGAGCAGGGACACCTGACTAAGGAGGGGCCATCACCAACTTCCTATGAGGGAAAAACTACAGCTGCTACCAGTGTTTGTTTAATTTTCAGTGAAAATTACTGTATTTTGTAAAAGGCAATACTACTACTAAAAGCAGAATGCTGTGCGTCAGATGATGTCTTGTCTCTAAAGACTCTGGGTATAGGAGAGCCATGCTAACCTGGTAAAAGCGAGCTATCTCATGGCAAATTTGGGGCATAAGGTTGGGGGCAATCTGTGAGCTATGCTGGGGTAAATGCTGCCCGCTGCAAGTGCCACCAGCAAGGGCTCCTGGGACAAATGAAATCTGCTGGACTTGCGTGTGGCTTGCAGCATTTGAGGGGGCTGAAGACAGCGCCCTGCCCACGCGTGTTAATGGAAACTTTCGGATGGAGTCCGGAGAGACGGGCGTGGTGGTCGGAGGCTGCAGTGGGGCTTCGCAGGTGGTGGGCGGTTCTCTGGCCTGCACTGTCCTAGAAGAGGCGGGTCACCCTTGTGTCCCTAACAGAGCGCACTGCAGCTTAGCCTCGCCCTCTCTAAGCCTTGAGAGCTCAGTGACAGGGCGGTGGATTTTCACGGTCGGAGGAGAGGACTGTGTGCAAAGTGTTCTCCGCACTTCTGCCCACTTCCTCTCAAGCCCGCCCTGGCTTCCCAGGGTATGTCTCAGGGTATTTTTTAATCCTCTGGCATCAAAAGCATCTTGCAGTTTATCTGCAGACTATTTTTAAACCCCGGAAACAACTTTGCAGAGAGAATCTAATCTAGCAGCCCAAACAAACAGAAGGGGATGTGGGTGTTCGGGGTGACCCAGGCCTCCACAATGCAGAGGCCGGGCCAGCCCTAGGGAGGCCAGCGGTGCCAAGGAGTACAATTTGACAACCGCTGATGTAACCCAGAACTCCCGTTTTCTAGCTAAAGAAGCAGAAGAGGTGAAAATTGAGATTTTTGGCTTAGTTTTGAGAGTTCTCTGGGAAGCCCAATGATGTGGGAAGTTACTGAGCTTTTTTCTTTTCTTTTTCCTTCCTTTCCTCTTTCTTTCTTGATCTCTTAATTTATTTTTCACCGGGAATTAAACCCAGGGCTTTCACACCAAGCTGCATTCTCAGTTCTTTTTTTCTTTTTCTTTTGAGACAAGGTCTTGCTAAGTTGTCCAGGTGGGGTTTGAACTAGCAGCTCTCCAGCCTCAGCCTCCCGGGCTGCGGGGACTGCAGGCGGGCCCCACGATGCCCAGCAACGGTTAGGTTTCTTGCCCCTGCTGCAGGGGACAAACCCAGCTGAGATGGCTGTGTGTGTGCTGTCTCGTCAGCTCACGCCAGTGATTGAGGGTCCCGGGGCATGAGAAAGGCAGGAGACCCAGCCAGGGCAGAGGCGGGCCTGCTCAGGGATGCCCGTGGTGCCACCCGGCACACGGCAGGCTGGGGGAGCGATAAGAACAAGAACTCCAGAGCCACCGCTCGGCTGCCTTTTGATTTTCACTGCTTCTTAGCTGTGTGACTTAGGCAGTCACTTAACCTCTCTGTGCTTCCGTTGACTCTTTTAATAAGTGGGGCGCTGTCCATTAAAAACAAGTTGCACGGAACCTGGCACACAGCAGAGCACACCGTGGAGCAGCGGTGTTCCCCCGGTGGCCCCACGGGGCTGACACTGAGCTGCCCAGCGCGGTGAGAGGCTCCAGGCCGATCCAGGCTCAGATCACAGTGCAAAGCCCGGAGGGCGGCTCCTGCGGACCACTTGCCTCTTTTGCACGATGGTCGAGTCAAAGCATCTCAAGATGGGGACAGTCCACGGTCCTTGGCATCTAGTCAAGTTAAGAAAATCCGCTGGTACCTGTGTGCCTGTCACTTAGTAATAAGCTGCTCCCAGCCACCAGCTCCCCGTCACCCTATCATCAGAATGACTTCAGGGGAAGAGCCTGGGAGCGTGGGGGGAAGGAGGAGAACCGGGAGCAGGAGCTGAGCCGCCATCTGCCTGGCTCCTCCCTGCTCTGTCCGATCTGGGTCACAGCGGGGGTGGAAGAGCCAGGCCCCTGGAGGACTCAGCATGAGTAGCAGTGGGCTCTGCCAGGGTCCCTTGGTGGCTGTGATGCCCAAGCCTCCCCCATCAGTTCTCACGAGTGTGGCGTGCTCAGTGGGACCCAGCCCACAGAGGGGTGCATGGGGTGGGGTGCGCTCCATTGGGGTCCACTGGCTGTGGCTGGAATAGGACAGCAAATCTGCTTTAAAGAGAGAGGAAAGGAAGTGACCTTCAACAGGCAGTAAGTGTCACAAACCAGAACAGCAGCACCAACAACAAAGCCCTGAGGCCAGAGCAGGATGCCCTGCAGCTACAAGGGTCACACAGCCCTGCCGCCTGGTTGTGCAGAGAGTCTGGACCAGCAGCACCCCGTGGCATTGTGGGGAGCCTTCAAGAAACACTGCTCCCTCACCCCAATCTGGTGTTTCAGAGTCTGCCCTCTAAGGCGGTCTCTGTGTCGTCTGTGCGCACGTTCCGTGTGACAGGCTCTAATAGCAGCACATGTGAGACTTCGGTTCTCGTCTGGGCTCTGCTGCACCTCAGCTGTCACTTGACGTCCTGTGCCTCACTTTCTTTACCTACAAAGGGGGCCCCGTAGCAGTGCCTGCCTGCAAAGCATGGTGGGTACGTGGGAAGCTGCCTGGTGCCCTGCTCACCCGGGGACCAGTGTAGGAACAAGTGGCTGTTGTTCAGTCGACTGTCATGTTACCTAGGCACGATGACACACACAAGTGGTCCCAGCACTCTGAGAGGCTGAGGCAGGAGGATTCCAAGTCTGAGCCCAACCTGGGATACATAGCAAAACCCTGTCTCAAAACAAAAACAAAATGACCATCATGTACCTGCTGTACACTGAGCTGGCTCTGGACACGTAAGGGACAGGACAGACAAGGTCCCTGCCATAGAGGGACCCGTAGTCCAGAGGGGAGCTGGAGATCACATCACAATCTGAATTATTTAACGTGGGTGATCTGCTTGCTTACAAACGTGACGAGGGCTGTGAGGACACATCAGGTCATTTTTAGTGTAAATAAAATAGGTGGCCAGAGAAGGATTCTCAGAGGAGGTGACACAAGAACTGAATCTCAAGGATGAGAATAGAAGCAGGGAAAGTATAAAAGCATTCACGTGTGTGCACACTCATATACATGTATGACAGAAACAGATCACACACAAATATATGTATGGAGGGTGTCTTCCAGAAACAAGGAACAGAATGTGCAAAAGTCCTGAGGCAGAGAGGAGAATTAGAATGGAAGGAAGACCAGGTAGTCAGAGCAAGGCAAAGCAGGCATCAGGGCACCTGGAGGACATTTTACAACACATATCGATGGGCCTGGGCCTGGAGTTTATGAGTCTTGAGTTTCTTACAAGTTCCCAGGTGACTCTGATGCAGCTGGTCTGGGGACTGCACTTGGAGGCCGCTATGCAGGGCTAAGAGGGAGAAGAGGATCAGGACTGCATCTGGGCCAGAGCACAGAGGGACATGAAAGCCCCATGGGCTGGCAAGCCACCAGATCTTTGTATGGGACCCAGAGTGACACAAAATGTCCCCATGGCTGGGGGTTGGGCACAGATTGTTTAGAAGGACATGGATGGGTGCAGGGCGCCTGCAAAGGCTTACAACAGCCATCTATAAGAAAGACCACAATGGCTGGCTTGAGGGGGGACAGAACTGGACCCTGAAGTTTTAAGAAGTTAGACATAATGGAACTGGGTGATCGGGCTGGGTCCCTGAATGCCATGTGAGGAGAAGATCCAGGAGGACCCACGTTTCAGGCTCGAGCAGCGGGTGGTGGCGGTGCTGTCTTCTGAGCTTGGAGGACAGGTGTCTGGGGTGGGGATGGAGAAGCACCAAGTTGGTGAGCTCAGCCCAATGCAGTGCCCTGCTGTGCCCGAGGGCACAGCCGAGCATAGAGGTCGTGTAGACACGTGGCACAGATCTGGAGCACTACAGCTCGTCCCTCGGGGCTCCGTGAGGTAGGAGGGGCCAGATGGGATTCTTAGTCGGCAGTCACCATGCTGGGTGGACTCTGAGGGGCCCGGATGCTGGGCAGGGCTTTGGTGTCCTGAACTTGAAGAGCACGGGCCCCCTCAGGGGAAGGGTCTGCAGCCACCACGAGAGGTCCAAGGGCAGAGAGCTCAGAGCTTAAGACCGTCAGCATGACCCTGGGGACACAACGGTGGGCCCTGGTCCTGCACAGCCCTCACTGCCATCTATCGCAGGCGCCTGGTGGATCGCCTGGAGAACATGAGGAAGAACGTGGCCGGGGACGGGGTGAACCGCTGCATCCTGTGCGGGGAGCAGCTGGGGATGCTGGGCTCCGCCTGTGTCGTCTGTGAGGACTGCAAGAAGGTACCATCACCCTCCCGCCCCATCCCTGCTCAGCACCATGGTGCCAAGCTGCTGCTTTGGGGTCTGCAAACCCGTGCGGTGTGGAGGGGTGTTGGCGGGACACAGATTCTCTCTAGCTGCTCCCATGCCCATCTGCCTTCTAAGATCACCCTGATCCTGGTTCCTTCCTGGAAGTCATTCTAACTCTTACGTCCCTTGGCACTGACCTCTGTCCAGGGCTGGTGGAGCCTGTCAGTGTCTTGGCTGTGGCTACCAAGTGGATTAGTGACCTCCCCACCACTGGAACAGCACCCAACACCCACAGTGTGAAGCAGGAGAGGTCTTTTTTGTATACATTTTTCAGTGGGTTCAGTCCATGGTCAGCTGTTCCATGGTGGAGGGGCCTGGTGAAGGAAACCTGCTCAACTCAGAGCTGTCAGGAAGCAGAGAGAGAAGAAAGGAGCCAGGGAAGGAGATATACCCACTAAGGGACACCCCTGGTGACCCCTTTCCTCCAGCTGGATTCTACCTCTGCACAGCGCATTCAGCCGTGAACTCATTTAGCTATGAGATTAATAACTCTCATTAGTGGACTAATCCATTGATGACTGTAGCATTCCACTGGCTGAATCTTCTTCCAAAAACCACCTTCATTACTTTTAGGGGACATCTTATGTCCTTTTAGCATTGCCCACTGAGGGGAATGGTACAAGAGAGGGCTGTCTCCAGCTAAGTGCAAACCCCTGGGCTCTGAGAGTGTCCATGCTTGGAGGAGAGGCCGTGAGCTCTCAGAGCCCCCCACCGCCCTGAACTGTGTGTGCTCCCCAGAGCTGGGGCAGAGGTGCCACTGTCTTTGGGTGTGCCAGCAAGGGAAATGCAGGAGCAGCCCAATGGGGACAGTCCCTTGGCTTGTCCTGCTTCGTTTAGCATTTAGAATGGAATCCTGGGGCAAGTGTACCCTTTCTGAAAAACACGTCTGCTGCGCTTGGTCAGACGGTGGGAACGTGCAGCCCATTATGTTTCCCTGTTGGTCCCGACAGCCAGGACTCTCAGCCCCAAATGCAGTGCTCTGCCACATGGTCGTGGCTTGTACCCAGATAGCTTTGTCCGCCGGGCAGAGTTGGGCTTCTTGTCATGGTCATGGTCAAGGTTGTCTTGGATCCTTTTGGGAAAGAAAGAGGGAAATGATTTAAAAAATGGGTACGTGGTCTTCCCTCTTAAAATTGACATCTGTGCCCTCCTCTGTGTGTTTGCTGGGAACTCAGGTCCCACAGGGACTCGGCGAATCCCTTCATCCGTGCTTGGGAAGGACTCGAGTTCTTGTTATTGGAAATGAGGATCAGATCGGAGCTGTACCCTAGCTTGTTCCCAGCAGGAAGGGTGAGGAGGGAAGGAGAGTTCTAGTCCTTCCCATCCACCAAGAGATCCCGGGCCTCCACTGCCACTCCCCAGACCTCCCCAACGCCCCCCATCCTCCCTAAGTGTGCCTTGGGCTGTGCTTTGTCCCCAGAATGTCTGCACCAAGTGTGGGGTGGACACGTCCAACAACCGCCCACACCCTGTGTGGCTCTGCAAAATCTGCCTCGAGCAGAGGGAGGTGAGTGGCCTGGTCCCCTGTCCCTTCCCAGCTTGCTTTTTGCCCCTGAAACAGGGTAACATTTGAAGAGCGGAGGGTTTGGGGAAGGTCGTGGGTCAATTTTGTTTTGTTTCTTTTCACCTTGTTTCATTTTTTTTCCAGGCAGGGTCTTGCTATGCAGTCCAGGCTGGCCTTGAATTCACTACGTAGCCCAGGCTGGCCTCGGACGCATGGAGGCCCTCCTGCCTCAGCCTCCTGAGTGCTAGGGTTACAGTGCGCCACCATCCTCGGCAGGCCTGGTGTCTTAAGGGCTCGGTAGGGAAGGTCAGCTAGGACCTGGCAGGATGGCCTCGGTGTTTGGGTGAACCCCTTTGCTTGCCCTCTGCATCTTGACTTGCTCTCTCCTCCTCCGCCCTTCCTCTGTCCTTTGTCCCTGACTATTTCCACGGAACCCTCCCTTTCCCCAGACGTGCTTTCTGTTGCTGATTTGACCCCAGTTTCTGAGTTCCCATCACTCCCCGCTGCGACACCTTCTTGCCTTTGAGGCAGTTTCAATGGCCACAACCTTCTGGGTGTCTGTGAGGGGCTGGCAGGACTCACCCCAGCAGGGTCACTGGGGACTGTCAGGAAGTCTGAGCTGCTCCCACAGGTCAGGGCAGGGTGCCGCCATGTTATCACTGTCTGGCTAGCAGGGACGGAGCCAAAGGCACAAATGCCGTGACTGCAGTCTCCCCCAGGCTGGCAAACTCTCCTGGAGTCAAACAACCCTAAGCTGGAAGCCAAGGGCGTGCACTTACAGCAGCCAGTGCTGCTCAGCTTCCCGGGCACCGCGCTGGGTGGGGAATGGTGCAGATTGGATCTTACAGGTCCACGGGAGATGTTCATCATGCTCTCCTTGGGATGCCACCAGGGTCTTGGGAAAGCTGCCCCTCTACAGCTACTATAGAGCCACCTTTGAGAGACGGAAGACTAAGCTAGGGGTGGTGGCCCACATCTGAAACCTCACACTTTTAGGAGGCTGAGGCAGAAGGCGTTAAGAGTTTGAACTCACTAAGCTGGAGCAGCTGAGTGAGTCCCAATCTCAAAATGAATAATAAAGGAAGTCTGCAGACGTAGCTCAGTGTGAAGGTTGTGGGTTCAAATCCTATTACTACAAAAAGAAGGAAGGCTTCCTTCTGTGGACAGGAAACAAACAAATGGTTGGCTCACGCAGACAGGGGCAATCCTGTTTGGCTGCTGTGTCTTCCACTCCTCTCTCCTCCCCAGGTATGGAAGCGTTCCGGAGCGTGGTTCTTCAAGGGCTTCCCCAAACAGGTCCTCCCCCAGCCCATGCCTATAAAGAAGACCAAACCTCAGCAGCCTGTCACCGAGCCTGCTGGGCTAGAGCAGCCCGCCCCCGAGCCCAAGCACACAGCCCGGGCTCCTGCACGAGGTAGGACCCAGACAGGTTCCTTCTTCAGCACCAAGGACAGGTCCCGGGCAGCTGGGCTACCTGGAGGACGCTTGCAACGCCCGCGTCTACCCAGCTGGTGAACAGTCAGCCTCGGGACTGTGGTCTAGGACTGCTTTGTCCCCTGCGTGCCTACCATAAACCTTTACCGGGAAGGTGGCACAAGAACTTCCAGAAAAGCCAGGTTGCCAAGAAACCTGCCTGTCATCCCTGGTGGAATGCTTAGAAATACGAAAGGAGAAATTAAAGTACAAATTGAAAGAGCCTCCCTCTGCTAAAATACACACCAGGTCCTGCGGGCTGGAGCCTGCTGAGAAAGCCTTCCTGGCCTGCAGGATTTTCTCCATCAGCTGTAAGCAAGCCTGAAACTGGACTAAATTAAAAGTGAAAAATGAATTGAAATGAATTTAGTAAAAGAAAAGTATCACTGCTATTGATGTGATTACTATTATGCAAGCATTATTATTAATTTTTAAAACGATAACTAAGAAAGCAAAAGCAGCAATAAAAAAGGTTTAATTGGATTAGGCCTCTTGGGCTGACCAGATAAAGCCCTTGCAATAACTTCAGTGACCAATAAGCCATCAAATCTGGTCTCAGTGGCAGCTCTGGAGCTGGACACAGATTGTGACCCTGAAGGTTACATTGCTGTGGAGATTCTCAAACCCTAGACATCAGCTGCCCGCGTGACTAGATGCCTGCACTCTGGGAAGCTGCAGCAGGAGAATTACAAGGTCAAGCCCAGTATGAGAAACTTTTAACTTAGTGAGAGGATGTAGCTCAATCTGAAGGTCTTGGGTTCAATCTTCATTACTGGGAAAACAAAAACAGAACTAAGCACCCACTTATGTCTCTCATAAGATGATTTTTTTCAAAGTACTTAGCACATGTGATGCATGGCACCCAGAAGGCATTTAACAAACGCTTTCTTGCTGGTGAGGAGCCAGCAAGCTCCACTCCTTGCAGAGTCGCCAAATTGTCTGCAGACGTGGCGTCCCAGAGGAAAGCTCAGTTTCCACCACTAGAGCGCCCTGTGTCCTGGTCATGCATTACTTCCTCTGTTGCAAAGGGTCATGTTACTCCCTCTCTGCAGTACTGAGCTGTTTGGTTTTTTCAATCTGGGTATGCTCATAGGTGCAAAGGAAATAAAATAAAAATCTAACCACAAGCTAGATTAGGGGGAGATTGGGAGAAGATGTAATTTTTAAAAAGTTTTTAGAAGAGGTAGGTGAGCCCCTTTGGGGGCCTAATAAGCATTCTCCATATTATCCCCCCTCCTCTCTCTCCAGGTGACACGGAGGACAGGAGAGGCCCAGGTCAGAAGCCAGGTGGGTTCTTCTGACCCTGTCTTCCTGAGGCTTTGGAACAGGAGCCCTTCCCCGTTTCCTCCACAGCCTTTCTCTGTTCAATCCGCGCTTCCCCCTGCAGGGCCCGACCCAGCCTCTGCCCCGGGCCGAGGAAGCTACGGGCCACCTGTGCGCAGAGCCTCAGAGGCACGCATGACGCCAGCTGGCCGGGAATCTGAGAGCTGGGACCACGGCCACGGAGGCGGTGCTGCAGATGCCAGCCGGAGCCCGGCAGGTGAGAGCGGTGGCGAATCCAGGTGGGCACCAAGAGAAACAACCGGAATCCAAAGGAACTGAGGGGAACTCAGTATTTATAGAGCACCTACCATACTCTGTGTTCTATGAGAGAAAAAAGATTCGTAAAATTTTGGTTATGTCCTTTTGTTACTCTTAAAAAGAAAGCACATGTTTTACATCCGTTGACCCCAAAAGCTGGGCAGAATGTCCCTTGGCTTTGGACATGCTAAGGATGCCTCCTTCTGGGGGTCCTTCTTCCCTTGGTCTGGCCCCCTAGCAGATGGGCAGGTCAGCATGGCTAGGATGTCACTGACCGGTGCTGTCACTGCCCAGCGCCTCTGGCTCACCCGGGCTGGGATTAGGAGGGAAAGGAGCCCGCTGGCCAGAGGCCTTGGTCCGTGGGCCTTGAAGGTTGGCCGGGAAGCCCGTGTTTATCACCCTGGCCCCGAGCAGCTCCATGGCTCTCACAGTGAGGAGCTGGGTGTGGGGCTCATTCACGTGAGCTGAATGTTCAGTCTCGGGTCTTCTCCTCCTCAATTGTGGTTCCTGACTTACACCTCACTGCCCAGCTGGGCATGGGCCATCTGCTGCCCAGACCCAATGGGGAATGCATGGTTCTCGGAGAGGGAAAGATGAATCTTAGATCGGCAGTAAAACAGAACACATATGGACTGTTTTCAGTGCACCAGACCCTGATATTCAGTTACAATGAGAATGAAACCCCTATTGTCCAACCCCGAAGCCTGTACTTTTGGTTTGATTTTCTCCTTTAGAAATTAAGTTTTTCTTGGCAATGTTTGCGTATTTTTCCAAATTTGCCTTTGAAATTCCTCTTTATGTTTTCCTCTTGGAGCTGTATAGTTTCAGCTCTTGCTTTTGGCTCCTTATCATTTATAGATCTTACTATTTTGATCATGTCTACGTGTGCGACTCAGCAGCCCTCGGTGCACTCACACTGGTGCACGGCCAGCTCGCTGCCATCTCCGGAAGCTTTTCCCCACGCCAAGCAGAAATCCTGTATCTGTGAAGCAGGACACCTACTTCCCTCTTCCCTCCACCCCAGAGTCGCGCCTCTTCTTTCTGTCTCTATGGATTTGACTATGAGAGATGCCACACTTAAATTTAATCATACAATATTTGTATGGCTCAGCTTATCTCAGTGAGCAGAGCATCTTTAAGCTTTATCCGTGTTGTATGTGTGTCCCAATTTCCTCCCTCTTTATGGGTACATAATGCTCCATCGTGTGGCTGTGCGTGTTCCTACCCATCCATCGGTTCATGAGTGTTTCCTGCTTCTCAGCTGCATTAGTGCACACCTGTGAACACGATGTTCAGGTGTCTGGAAGTGTGTCACATGCACACCCTCAGGCAGAGCTGCCCCATCAGATGGCGATTCTGTGTGTGACCTTGTTGATGGTCAACATGCTGTTTTCCACGGTGTCCACGCCACTGTCCCATCAACCATGCATAAGGTTTCCAGTTTCTGTACAACCTCCCCAACAATTGCTATTTTCTTGGGGGTTTTTTGTTTGCTGTTTGCCTTGTTTTTAAATGACAGCCATTCCAGAGGGTGCACAGTGGCCTCATTGTAGTCCTGTAGACTTGGCCTGCTTGTCCTAAGGCCAGTGATGGTGGACATCTTGCCATGTACTTATTGCTTTGATTTTTTTATGTACTGGGACTCTGCACTTTCCAGGCAGGCGCTTGTCCGCTGAGCTGTATCCCGGGGGTATCCCTTGCATACCCCCCGTACGGAAATGTATACTTGAATTCTTGGCCCATTGTTTTAAGCTGCGTTGTCCTTTGTGGCTGAGTCACAGGAGTTCCTCGCACAGTGCCTGGCGATGTGTAACTGCGGACACTTCCGCCCTTCCCGTGAGCTGCTTTCCTGTGTGTTAGTAGAGTCATCTGATGCACAGGACTCTTTGACTCTGACGAGGTCCAATGTATCTACTTTCCCTGTCGCTTCTGGTACCTTTCATGTCACATCTAAGCCAGCACTGCCGTAACAATGTCCTTTTGTCTTCTTCTGAGACCTTTACAGTTTTTGCTGTGATGTTTGGGTCTTTGATCCGCGTGAGCTAATTTTGTATAGCAAAGCCCACCTTCTAGTCTCCATGATCTTACCTCCTGAGGGGACAGACCCCCGGGACATCCCTGAGCTCGACCTGGGCCTCCTGTCCCTCAGGAGCCCTGAAAATGTCCCCCTTCTACCTGCTCCCCGCTGCACCTCGACCTGACCCACTGTCCCTTCTTCTGAGTCCCCAGAGCCACAAGACTCAGCCTGAGGCAGCGCTTACCACTGTCCGGAGCACTGAGGCCACCGTCTCCCTCCCCCGTCCAGTACCAGCCAGGGGCGTCTCTCATTCATTCCCTTGGTTTCTACCATTTATGGAGCACCTGCTACAATCTTAGCTCTCCCCCTCATTTTCCAGCCTATGCTGATTCCTGGTTGCTTATGCATTCTCAAAGATTTGTTGATTTGAATGGATATCTCCTTTGTTTTTGTTTTTATCTGAGACAAGCTCTCACTATGTAGTTCCAGCCGACCTCGAACTCACTATGGAGCCCAGGCTGGCCTCAGGCTCACAGTGATCCTCCTGCCTCAGCCTCCCGAGGGTTTATAGGTGTGCCCTACCGTGCTCAGCTCAAATAGTTTTGTTGTTGTTGTTGGGGGGGTTGGTTGTACTGGGGATTGAACCCATGGCCTCACATACACCATGGACCTACACCGCAGCCCACGAATGACTAAAAACAGCAGCTCAAATGCACTGAGCACCTACTCTGAAAGCATGGGGTTAAAGCCTTTGCATGTAGGTTCTCTAAAGGCAGTTACAGTCCTCTCATTCTCCTTTTTTGTGAGGTGTCCTGGGATCGAACTCACACCCTCATGTTTACCAGGCAGGCACTTGAGCCCCATCTCCCTTAATACATAAAGCAAAGCGGGGGACATGCCCAAGGCCATGGAAGTCATGGCCTGGCTGGTGTTTGAACCCAGGCAGTTCACATGCAGAGCCCAGCTGGAGGGCTGAGAGCAGCTCAGCAGGGAACACTCTCAGGGAGACCCCTTTGTGCCAGGCTTAGTCCTGGAGTCCCAGCGCCCACACTCACAGTGTGGAAAACCTGTGAGCCATTTTCTGATGGGAGCTTGGCCATCCACTGCTTACATGCCCTCTGTCGTGGGGAACTCACTACCTCACAAAGCGGCCCATTCTATGTCCATGGGCTCCAGGAGCTGTTGGCACATTGCTCATTCAACAAGTATCCAACACCCCCTGAATCCCAAGCCACCAACCAGCCATGGTCCCAGACCTTAGGAGCTCACGGTCCCGTGTCAGGAAAAGCTAAGAACCTAGAAATGACAGCAGGCAGCACAACCACCATAACCTAACAGACGCCGATGACAAGGACAGCAGGGACAATGGCAGCTCAAGCCTGGATCCTAGCAGTGGCCCTCACCAGCTACGAGATGTTGGGGGAACTCCTTCACCATCCGTGCTGCTCCTGACCTGAGGAACAGGGCTCTGAGGGCGCCGGGCTCCGGAGTCACCAGGGCAGAGACAGCCCGAGTTCTCCCATAGGAGGTCCCAGGCACAGGGTGGGCACTCCATGCCTGCAAACTCCTTCCTGTGAAAGGCAGGCAGATCTGTCACCCTGAAGAGGCCCCTGAGGTTCAGAGAGGGCAAGTGAGCAGCCCAGGTGGCACAGCTTACAGAGGAGGCGGCCAGGATGCAGAGCCAGCCCATGGGCAGGCGGCCCGGTGGAGCTCTCCTGTAAGGATATCAAGTGTCGAAGCTGCTGTGTGTTGGGTGTGCAGAACACAGTGACCACTGCGTTGCACAGCTGTGTCTTCTCCTCAGCCCTCTGGGCAGGTGCTATTATCCCCACATGACAGATGGAAAAACTGAGGCCCGGGGGAGTAGGTCTTTGGTGCAGTCACACAGGTGGGAGGAGGTAGGATCGCAGAGTTTTTAGCAAGCATTTGGTGACTGGGATTCGCCTGTGGAGCCCGAGTATTAAAAAGAGACAAAAAAATTTTTTAAAAAAAGGACAAGAGACAGGTGTGATGGTGCAGACCTGTAGTCCCTGCTACCCTGGAGGCAGAGGCAGGAGGGTCTCAAGTCTGACAGCAGCCTGGATAACAAAAGTCCAGCGCAGCCCAGAGCGCGGGAGTGCTGGTGCGCTGTGCAGCGTGACTCACGGCCGCTGTTTGCTGTCTTTGCAACGCAGGTTTGAGACGCACCAACTCGGTCCAGGCCTCCCGCCCTGCGGCGGCCTCGGGGCCCAGCCCAGCACCTCCTCAACCAGGGCCACCAGGTACCTGCCCTACCCACCAGTGTGTCCCCGAGGGTGTCCCCAAGGGTGTCCCCAATCCCTCTGAGTCACCTTTCACCCTGAAGAGCTCCTGGACCTTGAGCAAAGCTGGATCTTAAGCTTTGCAGAGGCTCTGGGATGAGACACTGGGCCTTAGAGCTGGACCTGTGGGGGGCGGGGCAAGAGGGGGAGGGGTGGGGAGGGGCATCCTGTCCTGGGCAGGAGGGAGGAGCGCCCCACTCAGGGTCCCCACCTCCAGTGTCCCCAGGGGACTTGCAGGTGCAGGCAGGGTCCACAGGGGCAGGGGTGAACCGTGTCTTTCTGAGCCCGGTCCCCACTGGTGTGGTCCCCGCACCCCAGGTGACCTCCTCATGGCTCCCTGGGTCCTGCCCACCCCCATGATGGGAGTGGGGAGGGTGCCCGCGCCGAATGTCGCAGCCCTACCCACTGTGCCCTGTGCCTTTCTCTCTGCCCCTCAGGACCGGCAGGGGGCACCAGAGCGGCTCCGGGGCCCGCAGGTCGCTTCCCAGACCAGAGAGCAGGCGAGTGTGGCTCCCTCCTCCCTTCGAGGGACAGAGCGGGCACCCTGGGCCCAAATCCCCGGCCACTGCACTAAGGGCAGATGGAAAATGCCAACCCCGAGAGGGCCAAGAGCCCGGCCGGCCGGCTCAGTCCCTGCCCCTCCACTCCCTGGCTGTGTGACTGGCACAAGAGGGTGCTGGCTGTGAGCCTCCCTTCCCTGCCCCCACGTGAGAAAGACAGGAGGCCCAGGCCCGGGGCGTCACAGGCAGGCCTCGGCATGGAGCGGAACATGTGCATCTCCTGCATCCTCTGTCGTCATGGCTACCACATCCTCACTGCTTCCCGCTCCCACCCCGCCCCAGGCACCGAGGGGTGCCCTCGGTCCCTGGGGCACCCCAACCCCTGTAGGCCGAGACCGGTTAGCATGCTACAGCTGTGAATGCAATGAAAACAACCCATGCAGCTACTGCAGTGCCCTTGGGCATCACGAGTGCAGTTCCACAGCTGAGGGCACTGAGGCTCAGAGACATTACTTCACTTTCCCAAGGCCACACAGCTGAGTTTCAAACTCAGGCTGTCTGGCTCAAGTCTACACCGCTGCCCAGCCGGGTGAGGCCTGTCTCTACCACATCCGAATCATCTCCACTGTCGGGCATGCACCCCAAGGCCCCGCTGCGGGCCACTAATTCTGGACAGGGCCAGGGAACTTGCATTTTGAAAGCTTCCCTAGATGCTCCAGGGATTCAGTGCCTCTTTCTTGTCCCTTGTCCTCGCCTCTGTCCTTACAGAGGTGGCTACAGGTGACCCTGGCTATCCGGGGGTCACTGCCCCAGTCCGGGAGGAGAGGACAGGGGCAGCCAGGGAGGAGCGAGCGGCCCCGACAGCCGGACCCTATTCCCAAGCATCTGCCACCGTGCCCCAGCCGGCCACCTCGGCCCGCCCGCTGCCCCCGGAGGAAGAGGAGGAGGAGGCCAACAGCTATGATTCGGACGAAGCAAGTAGGTGCTGGACGGGGTGGCCCTCGGTCCCTGGGCACCCCAACCCCTGTAGGCCGAGACCGGTTAGCATGCTACAGCTGTGAATGCAACCTGGGTTCACCAAGCAGCACCGGCCTTGCCCAGAATAGTGCTGTGTTTGGCAGATTTTCTATCATGGTAAAAGACACAACCTCAAAGTTACCATGTTAATTGTTTTGTTGGTGTTGTTGCAGGGCCGGGGATTGAACCCAGAGCCTTTACACTGAGCTGCGCCTCAGCCCTTGCATACTTTGAGAGAGACTCTCACTGAGTGGTCAGGTTGCCCAGGCTGGGCTCAAACTTATGATCCTTCTGTCTCAGCCTCCCAAAGAGCTTGGTTTACACAGGTGCACCACCATCCCCGGCTCATTTGAATTGTCTTAAAGATCTCAATAGGGTGGCACTGAGTACGTTCCCTGAGTTCAGTCACACGCCGAAGCATCTTAGCAGGTGTCCCCTAAGAGTGATGTTTAACCTGTCAGTGACTTATTGAGCAGCTACTGTGTACCTCTTGGAGAACAACAGGAAGATAAGGGCTGCAGCCTGCAGCCCAGGGGCTGCCTCAGGCAGGGACACTGAGCCACACAGCACTGGGACAGAGGCTGGCACAGTGGCATGGCCTGGGCTCATTGCACACTGGGAAGCAGACCCTGGCTGAGGGGCAGGTAAACTGAGGCATCTCCTGGCAGGCACTTCATGGACTGCACACCATCACCCTGTTTCTAGATTGCAGTCCTGGGAACGGAACCCAGGGCCTTTGCACAGAGCCACAGCCCCACTCCCTTTTCCCCCCTATGTTTTTAAATTTTAAGCTACCTGTTATCCCAGCACTCAGGAGGCTGAAGAGGAGCCTCACCAGGAGTTCAAGGCCAGCCTGGGCTACCGGGCAAGGCCCTGTCTCAGAACAATAAAATTGAGACGGGGTCTCCCTAAGCCTTTGGTTTTACACAGAGCTCCAGGCACAGGACGAGGCACACCACGGTTGTGGTGCCTCAACCGTCAAGGTCCTAGTGGTGACGAGGGTGGCACCCTCCTGTGCCCGCCCTGTGCAGCTGCTGGCTGAATCCCCTGGGCAAGGCCAGGACAGCTGTTTGTCCCCCTCCCTCGTGATCAGTGGGGAGGCCCCAAGAAACTGGAGGCTGGCGGGAGGGGCGATGGCCAGGCCTGGGGAGGTCTCAGCTGTCCCCTGATGTCATCCCTGGGCTGTCTTGTGGGCTAGCGGTTGGCAGTTTCAAGAGACTTCCCGCCTCTTCAGCCAGGCGTGTCTCTGCTCCCGAAATACTCCGGGCCATCACTAACTCACGTCCGCATCTTTTATATGCCCGTCTCACGCATGTCGATACGCCTGTCTCCAGCCTCCTCCCCCTCCTCCTTTCCCTCCTCCCCCTCCTCTCCCTCCTCCCCTCTCCCCCTTCCCCTCCCCCTCCCCCTCCTCCTTCCCCTCCTCCTCCTCCTCCCCTTCCCATCCTACCTCCTCCTCCTCCTCCTCCCCCTCCTCAGACCTCTGCAGCAGACAGACTTACTGAGCATGTACTAATGCCTCAGACTGTCCCAGGCACTCAGATACTGTGGCAAAAGATGGCCGATGAGCCAGGCCACCTCCTGGCTCTAGCATTCGAGTGGACAGAGACCCTTAACACTGACTCCATCTCAGACCCAGACGAGAGCTCCTGAAGCAGATGAAATGCGCTGAGTGACCTGAGGGCAGCGGCGTTAGATGCGGTGAGGGGAGGGCTTTTCTGAACAGAGAGATGCGGGCGTCAGAAGCCATCAGCTACGTGAGGATGTAGAGGGAGAGTGTTTGTTCCCTCCATGGCCAGGAAGCATCTAAAAGTTTCCTGAAGGGGCCTGGTGGGGGCAGAGTCAGCGAGACAGTCCCAGCGCCTGCCCCAGTGGGCCTCAATGTAGCAGGCAGGAAGTCACCCACTCAGCAGGTGCATAGACCACCAACTGACCACTCGTGCACAGAGGTGCTAAACAGGAAGGCCGCCAGGATAGTGTCCAGGCCGGGGACGGAGTCTTCCCGTCTCCTGTAATCTCCATGCCTAGCCTGGACTGGGCACATCGTAAGTGTTTGTTGATGACTAAACAAATGTCCTCTTGGTTCCTGTCTGACCCCTTCAGCCACCCTGGGTGCCCTGGAATTCAGCCTTCTCTACGACCAGGACAACAGCTCCCTGCAGTGCACCATCATAAAGGCCAAGGTGGGTGAGGACATTTGAGTGGGGACAGTTCGAGGGCTGACTCCTGCTGCTGCCTGTGACCAGGATGGTGGCTGAAGCAGGGTGGTCACCAGCATATCGGGTGTCCCAGAGGCAGGGCCCCCTACAGGGACAGCCCTGGAGGGTTCCCACTTCTCTGTGGCCGCCTCCCGGGAGCCAGACCCTGGCTCTGCCCAGGCCGGCTCCCCGCTGTCAGAGCTCAGAGCTCCCATTCGGCCCCGAAGCTGGCCGGGGGCAGATGCTAAGCCTAAGCCTCGGGTGGTGCTCACCCTGACCCTCAGGGCAGCCGTCCTGTCCTCCATGTGCACTGACTGGGCGCCTGCTGTGTACCAGGCACTGCAGGTACACACTGAGGTCAGCACCACCCTGCAAATAACACCTCGAGGTCAGTGCCAGCGGCACCTTGGTTGCCTTCACTGAAACCTGTGAGGTTTTCAGGGATCCCTTTGTACACGTGGGCAAACTGAGGCCTCGGGAGTCTCCTTCCCTGATCCCTGCTTCTCTCCACCTTTCTATTCTGGCAGAATTGCATTTAAGTTCTCTGCCTTGAGGAAAGTCCTATTCTCATTCCCATTCCACAGGCTCAGAGAGGCTGAGATACTTTCCTAAGGTCACACAGCTCACCTGGAAGCAGCATTTCTCTGGATGCCGACTGCCTGAGCCTAGCACTGCCCCACTCCTGTGTGTCCCTCCCTCTTTGGAAGAGGAGGCACACAGGGAGGACCGCCAGGCGGCACAGACACGGGGCTGTGTCTCTGCCTGTGACAGCACAGGCCCAGGCTCTCACGCCCCGGCCGGCTTCTCTTGCAGGGACTGAAGCCCATGGACTCCAACGGCCTGGCCGATCCCTACGTCAAGCTGCACCTCCTGCCGGGGGCCAGCAAGGTACCATATGGCCAGCAGCTCTGCAGGCCTGGCCCGCACCTGGGTTCTCAGCCCCAAGCTAGAATGGCCCATCTGGCGCGTGCGCCCCACAAACACCCCTGCGGGTGTCAGATGCCCGACACACACACACACACACACACACACACTCACACTTTCTGTCACTCTTAATTTACTTGATCAGACAGTCCCTTAGCTCTCGATGGCCAGCTCACCTCCCCAGTGACGTGTGCGTCCCATCAAGACCCTCTTTAGCCAGGTGTGGTAGTGAATGCCTGTAACCCCAGCTCTTTTCGAGGCGAGGCAGGAGGGTCACAAGTTTGAGACCAGCCTGAGCAGTTTAGCAGGAATTTGTCCCAAAAAACAAACAAAACATTTTAGAAAGAAAGAGCTGGGGGTGTAGCTCATTGCAAAGACCCTCTGTTCAATCCTGAGTGAAAAGGGAAACAGGAGACTCCCCTCATGCACTATTAAATCCAAATCTGTGTGGCCAAAAAGTCTAACATGAGTCATTTACACATTAGTATGAATTAGATTTGTCACTAGGCCACCTGTTCTGGATATGGTTCCATTTCTAGCCTTTTCTTTCATAATAAAATGGAAAAGTTTATCCTCTCTGAGGTATTTCAGGTTCACAAGGGTCACTATTTGGAGGAAAAGAGGGAAGCATCCCAAGGTCTCCTCTCTAGGAATGGGACACTCATCTCTACCTCCCGGGCCTATAGATGGATGCCAGGAATCTCCAGGGAGACATTTTTGTATCTTTATCTTAATGGAGAGTTCCAGCAGGAGCCAGCGGAGGCCACTGCTCCATTTGTCTGTGGTCCTTGTCCTGGAGGCCCCAGCCCCTAGAACATGCACTGGGGGGCAACCCAGGCCCTGGACCCTCCTTCGGGGAAAGCCACCGCCCACCCAAGGCGGCTAGGAGGAGGGGGCTGCGGGCGGCTCCTGGGGAGGCGAGCCTGTCTGACCTCTCTGGGGGCTCTAGTCCAACAAGCTCCGGACAAAGACCCTGCGCAACACCCGGAACCCCATTTGGAACGAAACCCTCGTGTACCACGGCATCACAGAGGAGGACATGCAGAGGAAGACCCTCAGGTGCCCGCGGTGGGGTGGAGGGGGAGCAGGACTTCTCATTTGGAAACATCCATGTAAAAGCCAGGCACGGTGGCACACACCTGTAGTCCCAGCGCTGTGGGAGACTGAGGCAGGAAGGTCAGAGGTTTGAACCCAGCCTGGGCAGCTTATCGAGACTGACTCAATCAATCATCCAATCTATTAGGGCTGAGGGTGTAGCTCCGTGCTAAGGCCCTGGGCGCAGTCTCCAGTAGAAGAAAAAGTGGGGCGAGGGGATAAATGTAGGTGAAGGTGGAGGCAGACAGGACAAATGGCTCCCTGCAGCCAGCCCACTGGTGGCCTGGGTGGGCAGCTAGTGAGTGGGGCGGGTCCTGCGCATCCCTGGGTGCAAGCGCACCCTCCTTTGGGTTTGAGCGGGGTGGGGGCCCGTGTGTGCGCATGCGCACTGCGTACCGTGTGTTTGCACATGCGCAGACTCGCCAGGCTGCGCCCCCTAGCCAGGGCCCTGGTCTGTGCCTTTTGGGACGCGTGAGTCGCGCTGCAGCCAAGCAGGAGTGCGAGCCGCAGGCCCAGGGCCCCGTTACCACTCCTAGACGCGGCCCACCTTCCTCGCCGCAGCTCTGGCGCGTAGTGGGAGTTCAGCATCTGTCTCTCCTTCTCTCCCCACCCCTCACGTCACCTGCAGGATCTCAGTGTGTGACGAGGACAAATTTGGCCATAACGAGTTCATCGGTGAAACGAGATTCTCACTCAAGAAACTGAAACCGAACCAGAGGAAGAATTTCAACATCTGTCTGGAGCGGGTGATCCCGGTGAGCACCGCGGTCCTTGGGATTTCAGGGTCAGCAGCGGGGCTGGATCCACGGGTGCCTACACAGAGGGCTGTAGCAGCTGGCGAGGAGAGTGAAGACTTCCGATCAAGCGGTCTAGGCTGCATTCCTCTTCTCCTTTGCCCTCCAGATGTCAGCTGGGGGCACAGCCCAGGCCTGCCACTCCCCTGTTCCTTGGCATTAGCCTAGGGACTGAACTACTCTGAGCCTCGGTTTTCTTGTCTGCAAAATGGGTATCACAACAGTGCCTGCTTGTGTTCAAAAACCATCAGAACAGAATCTACTGTGCAGCAAGCATTTTTAAACGCACGGGCATTATAGAAAATAATGCTGCCTCACACACCTGTCAGTGATGGTGTCCTTGGCTTGGTGGCTAAGAGTATGGTCTCTGCAGCCAGAGGCCCTGGGCTGGAATCCTGGCTCTGCAGATTGAATTCTACCCTTAACCTCTCTGGGCCTCGGTTTTCTCCTCTGTAAACTGGGGTAATGGAGGACCCATCTGAGAGAGTCTTTTCATGCTCTGGTGTGGCTGTGCATATAAAATATAAGAACCAGTGTCACCCTCGCATGTGGCCTTGGCCTTAGAGGAGAACAAGGGGTGAGCGGAGGTTCTCCTGCTGGGCTGTACCGCAGAGTTTACCGGGACTGTGAACACTAAGAGGTGGAGGGGCCCCTGGAGACCCCCGCTTAGGGGGGGAGGGGCACAGCAGTGGTGTCTTTTAAGATAACCCAGTCTGTCCTTGATTGATACATGGGCTCAGGGTAGGGGACAAGTGGCCAGCTGAGGACTGACTGCCTGGTTGCCAGGCCCTGTTCTCACAGCTCATGTAAAGGAATCAGACACCACAAAGGAACTGTGGGAAAGGTCAGCGCTGCCTGCTGGGCGCCTCATAAATCCCTGCTGCCCTAGGAGGACAGCTGGCCGCCCCAGCTCCCTCTTCCTCCCCTGCTCCACGAGCCCAGTTGGTCAGGACAGTGGCCAGGTCCCCCCGCCTGGGCCATCCGCTCCAGGCTCTGCCCATCTTGCTGGATGGACACAGCCAGCCCAGGACACAGAGGCAGTGGGACAGGGCTGCTGCATGCCCAGGACACTGCTAATCATCTTCAGCTCTTTGCCTGTCCATCCCTCTCAGCCCCTGCTCCCCCCCTAAGGACCTGCTGTGGCCTGAGGAACTGTGCCTCCTCTCTGTGGACCCCAGAGTTCCTCATTTGTAAAGTGGGGAGGCTGAGTTTAACCAGGAGTTTGCAAACTGTGATCCAGGCTGGGGGAGAGACACCCAGCAGACCAGAGAAGTCCCCAGTCCTTCAGCCCAAGCAGAGGAAGCGTGTCTGACTCCTGTGTGGGGCGCTGTGCTGCTGGGCGAATGCTTTCCCCTGCTCCTCGGTGTCTTCACGGACAGGGGAAGCAGCCGGGTTCTGAGCGGTGGCGCCTGCGCGTGCTCTGCTGCCGGTCGGCGTCGAGGAAGCTGCAGCCGCGAGGGGGCGCCCGGGAGGCGCAGGGACTCGGGGAGCCCAGCTCACCGCTCTCGGCTCTGGGTGCTGACGGAAGGGAGGGGTTGGGGTCCTTGCGGAGCATGGAGCCCCGTAGTCAATGTCCTGCTCGTTCTGTTTCCTCCCGCCAAGATGAAGCGCGCAGGAACCACCGGCTCGGCCCGGGGCATGGCCCTTTACGAGGAGGAGGTGAGCGGGGTGGAAAGCCCAGCCAAGTCGGGTCTGTCTCTTCCCTTCCTGCCTGGCCCCGTCCCTTTCTCCCCCGTGCCTGCCCGCCTGTGGGGCCACCAGGAGAGGGGCCCTTCACCCCAGTGAGACCCGGGGGCCTCCCCCCACCTGCAGCCTCCAGGGCGGCTCAAGCTCCGCGTATGCTCAGGCCTCTGCGCGCGCCCCCTGCAAGCCGCCGGGAGGTGGCGCTGTCCGCGGTGCTGACCCGCGTGAGCCAGCCCTGCACAGCGGCCCCCAGTGCCCGCCGCGCTCCCAGCCCAGCCCCTGCCCACCCAGCCCCACGCCTTTGCCTCCAACAGCAGGTGGAGCGCATCGGCGACATAGAGGAGCGCGGCAAGATCCTGGTGTCCCTGATGTACAGCACTCAGCAAGGAGGCCTCATCGTGGGCATCATCCGCTGCGTGCACCTGGCGGCCATGGACGCCAATGGCTACTCCGACCCCTTCGTCAAGCTGTGAGTCAGGGCCCGTGAGGGTCCCAGTCCTTGGAGAGCAGAGGGCCTCCCCCAAGTCACAGCCTACTGAGTCCCAGCAGGGGGACGAGCCCACCCACAGTCTGGCACACAGTGCTAGTGTGAGGTTGGCATCGCTGCTGTGGGCAGTGCGGCACCTGCCGCAGGTGAAGTTCGGTGATGTTGTACCTCCTGGGGGCAAGTGGCATGGTCACGGCAACCCTCTGAGATCCTCAGAAGTCAGACTCACTCCCTGGGGCAGGTCAGAGCCCCGCAAATGCTGCAGGATTTGCCTGCCTGGATCCTGGAGTGCAAAAGACAGATCCAAGCACGCTCGCGAATCAGCCTGCCGCTGGCGGTCCTCCCAGAAGCGGACAGTGCAGTTTTCTTTATGTCCAAGATGGGGCGCAGGGCTTAAATGAGACGTCATGCCCTGTGAGTGAGTCTGATACCCAAAATGCTCTGCGGTAGAAGAGGCTCGGATTTTGTACTTTTCTGGACTTGGGAATACTTGCATCTACATAATCAGGTACATCGGGGGTGGTACCCAAGGCTAAGCACAAAATTCATTTAGGTTACGTGCATACTTATAGCCCAGAGCTCAGTTCACACAGTACTTTTAGTGCACATGTTTGCCTGTCCCCCTCCCCGTCACAGGAAATCACTTGTGAAGTACTCAGATTTCTAAACGTTTCTGATATTGGAGCATTTCCAAGTTTGGGCTTTTGGATTAGAGATGCCCGACCTATATAAAGCAGTTCAGCTGCACCCAGTGCCGGGATGTTTCGCACCTGAGTGGAATTCTGCCTTGCCTTGTGGTGGCGGCAAAATGTGTGTTTTCATGGATCCTGACTGCTGTGATGGTCTCCAGCTGTGTGACACTGGGCTTATGGCTTAACCTCTCTGGGCCTCAGCATCCTCACCTGTAAGGCAGAGAGAGTAACACTGCACACTGATAGTTCAGGGGCTCCAGGAGGGGACACCAAGAGAGGCTGAGATATGCAAGAGATTCGCTGGGGGAAGTGCCCAGGGAGGCAGTCAGGGGGACCCAGAGGAGGCCCCCAGAGACGACAGAGCTTGCCGCGGGTCTGGTTTAGCAAGGAAGAGAGGGAGAGAAATTGGAAGACTCCCAGCTCCAAGAAGTTTGAGCCAGGTGCTGGGGAGCCCTTGAGCACAAAGCCTGCGTCTGAGGAGCCCTGTCCCCCTGGCTAGGAGGCTGCCCTGCCACTGCGGCCGGTGCTGGCTCACAGAAAGGGATTGGCCCAGCCCACCACCACTGCTGGTTCGCGGGAAGGGATTGGCCCAGCCCACCACTACTGCTGGTTCGAGGAAAGGGATTGGCCAGCCCACCACTACTGCTGGTTCGAGGAAAGGGATTGGCCCAGCCCACCACTACTGCTGGTTCGAGGAAAGGGATTGGCCCAGCCCACCACTACTGCTGGTTCGAGGAAAGGGATTGGCCCAGCCCACCACCACTGCTGGTTCGCGGGAAGGGATTGGCTTCCTCTTGATTCTCTTCCCTGGATGCGTGGCCACTGCTGGTTTACAGGAAGCTGGATTGTGTATTTTCTATGAGGGAGGATTTAGTTAACAAAAAGCACACATGTCAGTAGTGAGTGTGATTTTTCAGAATAGTTTGGTTTCGTTTCCTTGTCTGACCCTAGAGAGAAAATGAGCCCCGCCCCGCAGGTCCTGCAGGCTATGAACCCTCAGCTGGGCGCGGGCTGGGCTTCCTGAAATAATCCTCCTCTGCACCTCGCCTGTCCCTCCCGCTCAGTCCCGCCAGAGGGTGCAGAGGTAAATGGTCACCGGGAAGCAGCTACCCCAGCAGTCAGGGAAAGGCAGAAAACTGTTGGGCCCTTCTGACCACATGACGATTTCCCAATGGAGAAATCACCGTCGATATTGAGTTCCTCCCTCCTGTGTCTTCCTACGATGTATCTTCAAACACAGTTCAGTGAAGGAGAAAGCAATGTTTGGCTCTTCACAGCAAGTTTACGGTCGTGTTTAAAGTTCTCCAAAGAGTCACAACCTGGGTCAGAATCAAAAGTCCCAAACCTGATGGAATTTAAGCCCATGTTGTTTGCTCACTCGGGAAATACTTGTTTTTATCAGAAATACAGATTTTGCAGGCAAAGAATAGTATTCAGATGTGACAGTAATCAGCTTTTGTCTGTTTTCAAACTCTGTCCCTGGAGTGTGTTTTCACTCAGAAAACATTAATTGAGCACCTATTATGCGCTAGGCCTGGGGGAAGAGTCTTAGAGACTGAGGAAACGGTATGTGCAAAGGCCCTGAGACAGCAAGTGGAGTAAGGAGTGGGGAGAGGAACCTGGAATAAGCTTCTGTGCTTGGCACTGGGCTGGCACCAACCGGTAGGTGCCCTGATGCACATTGGCCATTGTCGTGTTGCTTCGCTTTCTGATTTGCTCCCTGCTGTAACCCTGAGGCTGAGAGTGGCCTTTGGGGTCGTGGCAGGGCTGTCCTGCTTCCTTAAAGTCTGTGTGTAATGCCCCGTTGTGTCTCTTGCAGCTGGCTGAAACCGGACATGGGAAAGAAAGCCAAACACAAGACTCAAATTAAGAAGAAAACCCTGAATCCTGAATTTAATGAGGTAAGGCCGCCCCACTCTGTGATAATTCCTGGGAGCCAGAGAAGACAAAATTCCTACCATCCTCATGTAGATCGCATAAAAAATAATAAGAGCTTTGGGGCATAGGTCAGCTTGAATTTAAGACAGGGAGTGAGTTCCCTGTCACCAGAGGAAATCAATCCTCAACAAAAACCTGGAGGTCAGGGACCAAAGACCTCACAAAAGGGACTTCCTGAGCTGCTCCAGAGCTGCAAGAGCGGTGGGTGAGGGTCTTCACCATGGGCAGAAGTTTTTCCAGGGTGATTCCTGGCAGGATGTCTCTTACCATAATGGTTTTTAAATTTATTTAAACACTGATTGTATTTTCTGATCAGACCTTGTACAGACAATGTGAATATGCGTGGGACCCATTTTCTTACTGTTCACAATAACATCACAGTGTACCCCTGCCCTCCATCTTACTCACAGTGGGACGGGCTCAGAAGTTCACTTCCTAGAAGTCACCTTTAATAAACCGTCTCGGGCATCTGGAAAGATTCCCCTGCAAGGGTGTCCTCTGGGGTAACACCGAGGATGCGTTCAACTGCGGTGATTGCAGACCTGCCGCGTGTCGGTGATCATCGAAAGCGTAAAACTTCGCCATCCTGGTTTAGACTCTGTGCAGCCAGACGGTCATTAAATGTGGCCATTAAAATGGCAGGATAGCGGCCTGGGATTTAGCTCAGGGGTGTAATTGCCTGTCTGGCAAGTGCGAGGTCATGAGTTCGATCCCCAGTACCAAAAAAGAAGGCGAGAGAGAAGAGGGTCAGTAGTGGGCTTGCCACCGACTACGGGAGCTGTAATGCAAAGCATTCAGTACTGTTCTGCATTCTAAAAGTGCGGCTGAGCACGAACACACATGGAAAAACATGACGGTAGCTTTCGTTTGTAGTTGGATTGGAAGTCTGTTTTGTTTTTGTTTTTCTCCTTCATTTTGTTGTTTGGTTTGGTTTTTTGAGGCAGGGTCTTGCTGTGCAGCCCATGCTGGCCTCAAACTTACGGCAATCCTCCTGCCTCTGCTTCCCAAGTGATGGGATTGCAAGCATGTGCCTCCACACCCAGTTTATCTATTTTAAGGGTGAATATGAGTAAATTTTTTAATTGGGGGAAAATTACTTTTTTAAAACTCAGATTGTTTAGGGTGCAAACGTACTCGGCCTGCTTTGACCACTTTTCCTCCCTAAAAATAAGCCAGGCGAAGCTTGTCCCGAAGCCCAGGAAGGATGGTCAAGGTCTCGGTCACCTGCCTTGCAGGAACCCAGGCAGGACGAGGTCAGGGGGAGAAGCCCTGCTGCCTCCATTCCAAACAGAGCCGTCCCTGCAGAGGTCGAGGGTTTTGTTCTGCAGCAGGATTGAGGAGGGGGATCCTTGGGCCTGGAATGGAGGCTCCCAGAATGCCCTGCACCAAGATGTCCCTCCGTCCACGACCCTCTGGGGAGGGGTGGAGGGACGACCCTCACTCACTCCTCCTCTGCCACACCCAGGAGTTTTTCTATGACATCAAACACAGTGACCTGGCGAAGAAGTCACTGGACATCTCCGTGTGGGACTACGATATCGGCAAGTCCAATGATTACATCGGTGAGTGCTCCCAGCTCTGGAGGAAGCTCCTCCCCGCCCTCCCGGGAGGCTGCAGAGGAGGGTCCGGCTCAGTCCCCGTCCTTGTGCCACCCTACAGCCCCGTGACCCTGGCTCTGGTCCTTTCAGAGTTGCCTTTGTGTGGCGGGGCTCGCCCAGCTGATCCGCTGAACCCGGGGCCTCCATAGAACAACTGGACCCTAGTTGAGAGGGGTGTGGGGTCTCTGCAGAAGAGCAGCGCACAGGAATTCCCCTTCGTCTGTTTTCGAGTCCAGGATGAAGGTTTTTATTTTCTTGGCCACTTTCCACATGATAAGGAAGAGAAGTGATTAAAAACAGAGCCCGAAGGAAACTGGGCCAGGGTCAAGGGCTGAGCAGGAAGAGGGAAGCGATGGTGGGTGACGTGCTGGAGAAGCGGGAGCACGCGTTTCCGTGAGCCCACGGTGACACGCAGGGGCCCTGAGAAAGTGCACGGTGAAGCTATGCCTGGGTGCTGGAGCTGGGACCATGGCCGGTTCTGGAGGCCCAGAGGCCCATGGTGAGACTTTCGGGCCCGGGATGGGATGGGCATCCTCCCTCCTGACCTGCTGCTCCCTCCCCGCCCCCCAGGAGGCTGCCAGCTGGGCATCTCAGCCAAGGGCGAGCGCTTGAAACACTGGTACGAGTGTCTGAAAAACAAGGACAAGAGGATCGAGCGCTGGCACCAGCTGCAGAATGAGAACCATGTGTCGAGCGATTAGGACCGAGCCGGCCCCGCCACCGTGAACCCAGCCTGCCCCGGCCGCTCACTGCGCTCCGGTCTCTCCCCTGTGCCACCTCCCAGCCCAGCTGCCCTGTCCGAGCCGGACATTGGGGTCCCCCCACCTTGGGCATAGCTGCCAAAGACCTCCCCCTTCTCCTCCTCTTCTTCCTCAAACCTTCCCTCCTCCCCTGCCACTCCCCTTCCTCCTCCTCCTCCTCCCCCTCCTCCTCCTCCTCCTCCCCCTCTTCCTCCTCCTCCCCTTCCTCCCCTTCCTCCTCCTCCTCCTCCTCTTCCTCCTCCTCCTCCTCCTCCTTCCCTTCCTCCTCCCCTTCCTCCTCCTCTTCCTCCTCCTCCTCCTCCTCGTCCTCCCGTCCTCCCGTCCTCCTTTTCCTCCATCTCCTAGTATGGAGCAGGAGGGCTGGGGACACAGAGATGCTTATAAAGAGCAGGTCCGTTTAATAACCTCCCAGCCTGGGTAAATTAACAAAGGTCTCCACCATTCAGGGCTGTTTTTCTACCCTCCGGGGCTTGAACATACATGCACACACACCTGCCTGGGTCCTGTGTCCCCTCCACGTGTCCCCTCGGCTGTCAGCAAACCCTCACACCAGGAACACACATGTTGGGGCAGAAATGGGGACACCCAGGATCCCACTGCCCGTCCGGACGCACCCCAGTTGCCAGGAGAGCAGCCTGCTCCTGTGGGCAGGAGCCCCCCGCCATCCCACTCCAGACACACTCAGCAGTGGACACACAGGGACCTCATCGCCCCCTCCTCCAGGAAGTCATGGATTTGCTCCTGGCAGAGAAGACTCCTCCTCCCCACCGCCTTCCCTTCCCCTACTCCCATCAGGAGCCTCCCCTGGCCAGCTCCTGCTGTGCTCTCCGCCCCCACCTCCCCCCTCTTCCCTGGTCCCCTCATGGGGGGGGCACAGAATAATAGAAGCAGACTCTGGGGCTCCAGGCCAACCTGCACCCACACGCCCCGCCTCCCTCCCCTCTTAAGCTCTCCACCGCTGCTGTCTGCACGGCCAGATGGCCTTGGGCTGGGGAAGGCTGCAGGCACAGCCCTGGGCACAGCAGTACCCCACAAGCTGGCGGACGCCCCTTAGAGAGCTCTGCCACCCCTGCTTCCCCAGTGGGCACTGGCGAGAAGAGAGCACTATGGGCCGGGTCCTAGGGGGCTCCACCAAGCCCACCTGCCTCCTTCCCCTGTGCTCCGGGCTGGGGCTCCATTTCCTTCCTGGGGTGCCCTGCCTCTCCCTCTGTCCATCTCTCTGTCTCTGGCATGTTCTTTTTCAAGTTCCCGGGGGAATCCAATCACATCTCGGGTATAAAACTTTTAAGAAGAAGGAAACCCTGATGCCAAAGGCTTTCAGTCCATCATGAACCAAGACAAACACTCTAACTCTGAGGCTGGTCAGGGATTCTTCAGTGCCCCTTAAGAAAGGTTGGGTTTTCCCAACTTTGATTAGATGTTTGCTTGGGAAAATCATCACAAATCATCCCGGACCCCTGCCACTTGCTCTAGAGGCTGTCAGGCCCAACAGAAACTGCTACCCACACTCGCAACTTCTGACCCCCACTTAATGCCCTCCACCCTCAGCTCCCCGCACACCTTCCTGGAGGACTCGGTTCTTGCCTTTAAACAATCACTTTCTAAATACCAAGCTCCTCGCCTTCCCCGAGGTGGTCAACAGCTTCCTGGCTTTTGACCTTGACTTCTCCCTTTAGTCCCCCGTGGCACCCACTCAGCCACCCCTCTGTCACGGTCCACCCTTAGGAGCATGCATGCCGGCTGTGGCGCCCAAGCCTGACGCTGGTGTCGGCGCTGGAATGAGCATGCCCGAGCGTGCCATGCCCTGGTCTGGGCACACGCTGTCCCAGACCCTGCCAGTCCCTCCCGCCTAGCACAAACACATCCCCTGTGCATGCCAACCACCGTCGCCTTTCTCTGTGATGATGTAGCCAACAATAAAGTAGGAATCTCCAGGCACACGGTGGTCTGTGGTTTTCCTTGCCAGTTTCTAAAGGAGTACTTTCTGTGGGTGTCCAACCTCACCCTCTCCCTCCGCCCCCAGGAAGAGTCTCAGTGTTTGTGGAGTCTGGTATTGTTGAACTTAAACCACAAAACTGAGCCAGGCCTGATTCAAGCAGCTCACTTATCAAGGACCTCCCCCACTGGCTTTGGAGGGCTGGATGTAACGTACCCATGAGAAAGACATCGATTTGCCAACAAGAGATCAGATACCTAGGCCTCAGCGTGGCTTGCAGAACACCACGTAGGCACAGAGCACAAACAACCTCTTTGTGCCCTTCCAACCCCAAGCACCCAGTGCCAAGTAAGAGTGTTTCCAGGGGTAACAGGGTTCTGTGCCATCTGGATCCCAAATTTTTCACTCATCGTTAATCCCCTATATGCAACCGTAAAAGCTGGGGGATGTGGGGGAAGAGCCCTTCCTCTGAGAAGCTGACCAGAAAAGAAGCCTTGACTAAGGCCCAGCCTTGGGCCTGTATAGCCACGCCCTTCTTCCTGTATGCCCATGAATGGGAAGCAGTGGCCGTGGGGGTCTTCACTCAGATCCTGGGATCTTGACCTCACCTGGTGGCCCAGTGGTCAAAACTGATTCTGTGACCCTGGGAGGCCTCCATGCGTTAGGACACTTGCTGTCACCACCTTGTTGATGCAGGAGGCTAACCAGTTGACTTTGGGACAACTGACCATTTGGGTATCACACGCAGCCATAACCTCAGTGGACCCGAGAGGACACCGTGGGTCATCAGGTCTGGGGGTGACTTGTTATCAAGGGCTCCTATGTGAAAATAGCCGCATAACCTAGAGCCTGGACGCTCAGCCCAGCCACCTTGCTCCCAGGCTAACAAGGAGCCCCTTTCACGACGGTTTGGAGGTGGTAGATGAGTTCGTGAGCCAGGGAAATCTCACTCATGGCCCTTCAGAGACACAGATAGCAAATGTTTCATAGATGGACGTGACCTTGTGCTAGGAGGGGTCCAACAACCAGGATGCTGACATTGGACTGTGTGGTGGAGGCCTGCTCGTTGCCACCAGAACCCAGCCTACGAGGCAGAGCTAATGGCCTCAACAGGGCTGTTTCACTAACAAAGGACAAAAACGGATTCAGAATGTGCCTTTGCAAGCTTCCATGTAAATGGTGTCCTCTGTAAGGAAAGGGGTCTCATGACGGCTGAGGTTTAAGACTAAGTTAAAGTGAGATGTGTGCCAATCAAAATCAATTTCTTCTATCCATCAAGGCCAGTTAAGCCTTCTCAGAAGTTATCCTGGAACCACGCACAGCACCTCTATGTTCTTCTGTCAGGCCCAGTCGTCTGGATGAGGCACAGGCATTGCTTGCCCAAATGGCTTTCTGTGACAGCTTGGGAGGTTTTTCTATCCCAGTGACTCTGCTTAGGTACCTTCCTCTGTGGTCCTGTAAGCTCCTTGATCAGAAGACTGGGGACTCCCCGAATTACAGGACATCACGACAGAGGGTCTCTGGTGTCCTGAGTCCTCACTGACCTCTGAGAGCTGGGGCCAAAGTACTGGCTGTCCTCTTAGCCCACCTATCTTTCTAATCTTCTGGTCTCTAAATCTTAGTTGTTGAACTCCCAGAAGAGAAGATTAATGACATTACATCATAATGGAGGTGGTAAGCTTCATATTACTGTCTTACCTGAATGTCAAGTTCCTTAGAACACAATATAGAGCCGTTGATCTATAATAACCATAGATATTCTAATACCTGAATCCTTAAAGATTATTAACAGATAACAGTTACATATTTTACACAGAAAGTTAGAAATCAAAAAACCACAAGTCTTAGTTACTATTTACTGGTCACTGAGACAAAATACCTGATGCCCAAAGTTGGGAAAGGAAATGTTTATTTTTTATAGTTTTTTGGAGGGTTCAGTCCATACTCAGTTGGCTCCAAGGCAGGGTGACATGGTGGGGCTGCAGTTCATGGTGGCTGCAAACAGCAAGGTGGAAACCAGCAAGAGAGAGAGACACACCTTCTTCCTGCCATTACATTGTATGCTGGCTCCACCCCTATGTGGGTGGAGCACTGACACCATCAATCCAGGCACTAGACAATGAACAATCACAAATGCACAATGCAAACACGTGAGGCCTAGGGATACATACATAAACCATGACATTGCACCCCTGACCCCTACGTGCATCCTTTATGCAAAAGACTTTAAGTCCATCTCCAAGAGTTGCCAAAGTCCTAACAGTTTCAGCATTGCTGAGAAATCCAAGTCCCAAATCTCCTCCAAAGATCTATGGCAAACTCTTAACTGTAACCCCCTGTATGAATGAAACAAGGTTAAACATTTCTGAAATGCCAAGGCACAAGATAAACATTACCACTCCGAAAGTTACAAACGGGAATATAAAGCGTTGTAAACAAAGCAAGTCCAACATCCAGCAGGACAAACATTAAGTCTTAGAGTTCCCTGCTCAGCATCTGAAGCACCCTGGTTGCAGGTGCCAGAAGACTTGGTGATTCCACCCCCAGGGCACTTCCAGGGATTTCAGCTCTCTGCTGGCTTTTTGTAGCTTTCTTTGGTTCATCCACATTGCTGGCTTTTCCAAACTTCTGGGGTCTCCACTGCACCTTTGGCTTCACCATTACATCTTTACAAATTGCCTTCCAGGGACACACTGCTTGGCCTCCCAGGCCCTTTGCAATTGAGGTGGAAGCCGTCTTACCCTCAGAATTTGTGCATTTTCCTTGCACCTACCATCAGCACACTGTGAATGCCTCCAAGGTTTGCTGCCAGCTGGAGCAGTAGCCAGGCTTTTCTCTCTCTTGACTGTAGGGATCAATTGCCTGTATCGCTAGACTCTGTGAACCTGATTGTGAAAAAACCTTCTCTATGTTGCCGTCATTCCAGAGCAGAGAGCTGCTGCCATTCTGGAGCCTCACGTGGCCTCTGTTGCCATTCTGGAGCATGGTGCTCTGCAGCTTTTTTTCTCTGAGCAAATTCTTTCACTTTTGCAGTTTTGAGGCTGCAAAGGGTGATGACCCTGTGCTTCCTAGTATGCCCCCGGGGCCATCTTTTTTAATCTCTCTGTTTCTTCTCATCAATCAAAGTCTCAACCCTGTCTTTACAATCCACAGCTTTACTGGAGTTTTCCTTCTGGCCAAATTCACAGAGTTGTAAATTATCCTGCTGGGCTCTTTGCTCTTGATTTGCAACATAAAACTGGCTAAAAGCCCCAACAATGTGCTAGGCGGGTGTAGCACTGACACCATCAATCCAAGCTCTAGACAATGAACCAATCACAAATGCATAATGCAAAGGCATGAGGCCTGGGGGCCAGCGACATAAACCATGACACCAGACATAAAATTGTAGCATGACAAGTGTGCTGACATTTTGTAACATACTTACATTTTCACTTTGACATAATATTCTCCCCTTTTAAAAATTATCTCTGATACATAAGAAGCTTTTAGCTAGCTGGCTTTTAAAGGGATGTGCATTCCATAAGTTCTTTGTTAAGACAGATGTCTGAATCTGAAAGAAAAGCCTATCACTGTAACCACCCTTATCCCACACTTCAGAGGATCGCAGGGCTGCAGGTGTGAATACATTCATATACTACAAAAACAGTAACAATCAATTGTCACAGTCATGTGAAAACTTTTATACAAGAACATCTTCACATCAGAAAATTGCATTGTTTGGAAAATTTAATTCTCTTGATGATGACCAACGTAGACATATCACAATAATATATTTTAAGAACATTTATTGTAGTATCTCCCATAAGGCTGTGAGATCACTGGGGCTTCATCTTAGTGAAAAATGCTGGGATTTTCCCAGGCAGCTGCTTCTTTATCCACCAGAGGGAACCTTAACCAATAACTCTCCAAGCCCCAAAGGTCCCCTCAGTTATCCTAAAAAAATTCTGATGGCCTCTGAGAAAATCTGTTTTGGTATTATTTTGACCAGCTGGTAATGCATACTTTTAAATCTATAACCCAGATCAAATTATGAACAGATGATCCAAAAACGTAAAGGAAAAAAGAAAAAATGGTTAGGCTCATAAAACCTCCCAGCTGTTCACAGATATGACAAACAGACAAATCAACACACAACTTAACAGACTGACAACCACATACACAAGCGACAAACAGTCAAAACATCAAAATCAGAGTGCACTCAAATGTCTTAAATATATTTTTAACCGGATCAAATTATAATATCAAGTTTAAAATTTTAGGAATTTATAATGATGAGTAGACTGTCAGATTTTGTTCTAAGTCACTTAGCAGAGGTCTCCTAAGAAAGCTTTGTTTACAGTTAACTGCATCTTTGTGTTTTATTTTAAATGCCGGTACCTTTCTGTTGCAGCTGTTTCTTCCACGTTTCTCTTAGATCAGTTATCTCTGTGCACTTCGTCACCTTATTCAGACCCTCATTGCTATTTTTGGTTACCATCTCCTGGGTATCCTGGGTCAGTTGCTTTATTGAGCTGCAGGTCAAGCCCAGCCCCATCCTTGTGTACCAGTTGAGGCCCAGTCTCTGAGGCATCACTGTCATCAACTTTTTGAACGGTGGGATCAGTTTCTTGTCTAGATACAATTGGACAGCACACTTGGGCACCCAGAGAGGCCACTGGGAGTTTTCTGGACAAACACAAGCACACCCTGTACCCCAGTGACTAGGGGCTAGGTCCCTCCCACTGTCCAGTGTGGAGCTCTTCCTTTTTTAGAAGGTGAAACAAAAGATGTGAGGGAAGCAGCTTGAATCAATTTGTCTGGAGGACAATCCGTAACACCAGGGAAGTTTGCTAATGCAGTTTGTCAAGAGGACAAGAATTGCTCTAACCGCTGCTGGGGAACCAAAATAATAACAACCAAAAAGGAGCAGTCAGAGTCTGCACCTTGCACCACAACCCCACAGATGACGGGTACACGGGGGAGGATATAAGGTGAGAAATTTCCAGAATGGCCTCCCTCC